TCTATCTGTGCCACTAGTAACACGATAATTATACTACTTATAAACTACTAGGTAGATTAAAGAGCTATTTTGACAGAAAAGTGATAATAAACACCCAAATCCGGAAGGTTAATGTGGATGATGCTCAGATTTAAATCATTGATGCGAAAGTGGCTGCAAGACGTCTGATAGGCGACCAAAACTAGCACATAATTGACAAATTATGGAATTTTTGAATAAAAATACAGACAATTTATTTTAAATGGAGTTCTATGGCCTCGAAAGAATTTAATTTCAACAGTAGATAAGATTCATTACTAACTTGGTCCAATTAATACGAGACCTATCTGTGCCACTAGTAACACGGAAATTATACTACTTACAAAGTACTTCTTAAAGTAGAGAGCTATTCTGACAGAAAAGAAATAATTAACACCCACATCAGAAAAGGTAAGTTTGCGTGATGCTGAAGTCTGAATCGTTGATGCAAAAGTGGCTGCAAGACGTCTGATAGGCGACCAAAACTATCAAATAATCAACCAATTATGAAATTTTTAGATAAAAATACAGACAATCTATTTTAAAGTGAGTTCTTTGGCCTCAAGAGAATGTAGTTTAAAAAGTAGATTAGATTCAATATTAACTTAGTCAAATTAATATGAGACCTATCTGTGCCACCAGTTACACGGAAAATATACTACTTATTAGTACTATTTAAGTACAGAGCTATTTTGACCGAAAAAGGATTGATTAGCATTCACATAGAGCTAGGTAATTCTCGATGATGTTCAGATCTAGATCAATGGCTGCTAGACGTCTGATAAGCAACAAAACTAGCAGATAATCGACAAATTATGAAATTTTTGGAGAAAAATACTGACAATCTATTTTAAAAGAAGTTTTATGGTATTTATGGACTTTAATTTCTACAAAAAATTTGATTAACCCTTAAATTAGTCCAATTAATCTGAGATCTATCCGTGCCACCAGTAACACGATAATTATACTACTTATAAACTACTAGTTAGATTAAAGAGCTATTTCGTAAGAGAAGAGATAATAAACACCCAAATC